TACCAGGTGCCTTGTTCTAATGTCAGTGGTACGAGTTATGCTTAAGTTTTGATGAAAAAACTAATTTCTATAGGACCCAAAACACACCACTGCTTAGGTGCTTTTTCATCTCAAATTTTGTAGTTCCTTTTGGATTGTATGCATCCTTACTTTATTAAGCTAAAACATCAGCATATGTTCGCAGTGAGATATCCTGGCACATGTATACATTTTTTGAAATTATACAAAGGGCCTTATTTGGCCTTCAGGCCACACATAGAAACTCCCATTATTATCTTTATTTGTATTACAGTATCTGTCGATCTTAGGTACTGATAGGGCCCCATCACCATAATATCTGAGCACTTCATAGTCTGTAATGTATTTACACTCATACCACCATCTTGAGGTAAAGTAATCCTCTTAGCTCCATTTTTCCAGAACTAACACACAAAGAGACTAAGTAACTTGCAAAAGGTAACTTTTGAGTCTTTGTGGTAGACTTAAACCCCAGCCTCCTAAATTCTAGGCTAGTACCTCAACCAATGGAGCATCTTTCCTCTCCTAAAGGCCCCAACTGAGATAGGGACCCCATTGTGCTGGGCACTCTAAAAACACATAACGGGAGACCGTGCCTGCCCTGAAAATCTTATAGTCCAAAGAGACACAAGGTGAGAGGAAAGGTGTATTTTCCCCATTTTATGGGTGGAGAGCTGAGAAACAGAGAGATTAATTGACTTGCCCAGGGTCAGATAGGAAGTTTGCAGTGGAATTAGGAACTGAACCCCAGTATTATGGATGCTAATCCAGTGCTTTCCACACAATACTACATATCCTTGATGACTGCCTTCTTTTTCTAGCATCATAAATGAACATTTCAGACCTGCATAAGTCAATGTTTTCTCTTCTTTCATTCATTTTGACCACATTGCTCATTGAACTTGAAGCAATATAAATAAACTAAATAAAAATCATTTCATCAGATAATGAGTAAAAGAAATTCAAGATGTTACGTTTTATTTGCCCAAATCATACTTTTATGTCTTGTTAGAAAGAATTTACATGCAATAAATACTTGATAATCTATCAACTTCATATTAAAAACAATTGGAATTATTTTTCCTCAGGGAAACCAGCATTTCCAAACAAGTACACACATTTGCTACCTTGTAGACAGAGCACTTTAATAAATGCAAAACTCTTTCCATTTTTAGAATAGCAATTTATTTCCAGAGTTGCTGGGGGAACTCCATAAAAATATTAATTTTTATTTTGAGTTGTGTTAAAGCTCTGTAGATCTGCTTTCTTTTTAATTTGGTTTAGGTCAGTGTTGATCAGTTGAAGACACCTTATATACCGCTACCACTATTTCCAGTTATCAGAAGAGAGACTATCTATTTTCTAGATATCAGTGAGGAAGGTTGCACTACATGAACACGACAACACAATCATATAGTGGTGAAACTCTTTTTTCATTAAGATATTAGCTACAATATTTGTGTCAAGGTCTTGGAGATATTGAAATGGCTGTGGGTTAGAGACCAGCTTGCTATCCCAAGCCACTAAAATTAATTCATATTGGGTTTTGGACATTTTTTTGTCAAGTGGGGGGGGGGGGCGTGAATGAAGGGGACGGATTATCTGTAACTCTCTCTCTCTCTCTGAAATGCCTCCTAAAACTTAATAGGACATAGTAAAAACAAATGTTTAGTGATTTCAATAGAAATCAATACAGCTCTCTAACAAGGAGCCATTAGCCATTATTAAAACAATAACAGTACTTTGCACATAGACACCAATTGTCCTCAGCTGATCTGAAAGCACTTTACGAAAGTAGGTAAGCACGATCTTCATTTTATGAATGGGCTAATCACTGGCATAAAGTGAGTTGTTACAACAGAAAGGTGGGGCTAGAGTTGGGAAGAGAATCCAGTCCTCCAACTTCCAATCCCATGCTAAGTTTGAAACAGACATGTTGGCAGAAAAAAAAACATGACAACAAAGGAACAATCAGCATGATTACATGGTGTGAGTGTTCCACAATGTCCAACACTACGATAGAAGAGGGGGTTTATAGGAGAGGGAGCATTAATTAATACTGCTGCTGGTATTTGGTGCCTTCATCCTCTGAATAGCCTAGAAATCCTAGAATCATGGAAATGTAGAACTGGAAGGGATCTCAGGAGGTCTTCTAGTCCAGTCCCCTGTTCTTAAAAACTCCAGTGATGGAGATTTCACAACCTCCCTAGTTAATTTCTTCCAGTGCTTAACTACCATGACAGGAAGTTTTTCCTAATGTCTAATCTAATCTAATCTCCTTTGCTGCGGTTTAATCTTATTGCTTCTTGTTCTGCCCTCAGTGGTTAAAGAGAACAGTTTATCACCCTTCTCTTTAAAACAACCTTTTATATACTTGAAGATGGTTGTCATGTCCCCCCTCAGTCTTCTCTTCTCCAGACTAAACAAAACCAATATTTTCAATTTTTCCTCATAGGTCATGTTTTCTGGACCTTTGATCATTTTTGTTGCTCTCCTCTGGACTTTCTCTAATTTGTTCACATCTTTCCCAAAGTGTGGGGACACAGTACTTCAGTTGAGGCCTTATTAGTGCTGAGTAGAGTGGAAAAATTACTTCTTATATCATGTTTACAACACTCCTGCTACTACATCCCAGAATGATGTTTGCTTTTTTGCAACAGTATTACATTTTTGACATATTTAGTTTCTGATCTGCTATGGCCTCCTGGTCTTTTTCTGCAGTAATCCTTCCTAGGCAGTCAAATTTTGTGTTTGTGTAATTCATTATTCCTTCCTAAATGTAGTATTCTGCATTTGTCTTCATTGAATTTCATCCTATTTATTTCAGATTATTTCTCCAATTTGTGAAGATCATTCTGAATTCTAATTCTGTTCTCCAAAGTGCTCGCAATCCCTCCCAGCTTGGTATCATTTGCAAACTTTATAAGTGTACTCTTTATGCCATTATCTAAATAATTAATGAAGATATTGAATAGAATTAGACCCATGACAGATCCACACAGGACCCTACGTGATATGCCCTTCCAGATCGATTGTGAACCATTGATAACTACTCTCTGAGCCACTTGTGCAACTACCTATTTGTAGGTTCATCTAAGCTATATTTTCTAGTTCAGTGGTTTTCAAACCGTGGCTCGTGACCCAGAACTGGCTTGCGGAATGGAAGGGACTGGGTCGCGGTGGCTCTGGTCTGCATCACCGACTGGGCCATTAAAAGTCCCGTCAGTGGTGCTGCCCGTCTAAGGCAGGCTAGTCCCCACCTGTTTCAACACTGCACAGTTCCCTGGCAGCAGCCAGCAACAGATTTGGCTCCTAGGCCACACGCGCTGCCCTCACCCCAAGCATTGGCTCCTCAGTCCCATTGGCCAGTTCCTGTAGGGTGACCAGATTACATGAACAAAATATCGGGACACATGGGGGGGCAGGTCCGGAGCACCGCCGAAGCAAAAACAAAACAAAACAAACAAAAGCCAAATACATCCATCGGGACGTGGGACAAACGACTGAATATCAGGACGGTCCTGATTTTTTCGGGACATCTGGTCACCCTAAGTTTCCGGCCAATGGGAGCTTGTGGGGGGGGGGAGTGCCTGCAGGCAAGAGCCACGCGGAGCTGCTTGCGTGCCTCTGCCCAGGAGCCACACCTGCTGTTGGCTGCTTCCGGGGCGCAGGGCAGTCCGCGATGCCAGGACAGGCAGGAAGCCTGCCTCTGCACCCCCGCTGCGCCGCTGACCGGGAGTCGCCCTAGGTAATCCCACACTCCAATCCCGTGCCCCAATCCCCTGCACCAGCCCTGAGCCCCCCCCAAACCCGGAGCCTCTTCCTGCACCCCAAACCCCTCATCCCCGGCCCCACCCCAAAGCCTGAACTCCCAGCCCAGAGCCCTGACCCCCTCCTGCACCCCAACCTCCTGCCCCAGCTCTGAGCCTCCCCCAAAACCTGGAGCCCCTTCCTGCACCCCAAACTCCTCATCCCCGGCCCCAGCCCAGAGCCCTGACTCTCTCCAACACCCTGAACCCCTCATTTCCGGGCCCACCCGCAGCCCTCACCCCCACACCTCAACCCTCTGCCCCTGCCCTGAGCCCCTCCCAGAAGACTCCTTGTATGGCTCCCTTCTACAGAGCATTTAAGGGCCAGTCAAAAATCTGACCTGAGGTAAACAATTAGGGCCTGATCCTGTAAATGCTTCTTACATAAGGATCTGGCGTTAGTAGTTCCATTAAAGTCAGCTGGACAATTCATGTTAACAGATGTTTGAAGGATCAGACCTTTGGGCCTAGAGTCACTGTCATGCCAGGCCAAGCACAATACAAAGACAAAGGAAATAATGATAAGTATTAAAACTATGTAATTTTTAGTTTTACAAGCCAGGAGTCTTCTCATGCTATTTCCCAGTACACAGTACATGAAACATGGTGGCAGCTAGAGAGACAAGGTGGGTAAGTGAGGTCTGGGTCTATGCTGGTTATGTGATATGTATGTATCTCTTCATCCTTGCAACCGATACCTGTAATCCCTCATAGCTCAAGCCTGACCCCAGATGTACAGTACCTTCCCTCTTAACTTGTGTATATTTAATTTTAAACATTAACTTTAATAAAAATTTTAAATCTGTTATTGGACCAACTTCTATTGGTGAGAGAGACAAGCTTTCAAGTTTAAACAGAGCTCTTCTTCCAGTCTGGGAAACTTATTCAGAGTGTCACAGCTAAATACTAGGTGATTGTTTAGCATAAGCAATTAATACGTATTTCAAGGGACCATTCAAGGTGAAGTGGCCTGTTAAGACCCCTTCAGTCACAGGGAGGGAAGGGATGTATGTGGAAAATAGCTGCTGGTGGTGGGGGGTGGAAGGGTTGTTAGTGTGTGATAGATTGTTGTAACACTTTCAAAAGAGGAGCCTGGGAGCTTAAATTCATAAATTTGCTAGACACTAAAAATCATGGACTGAATAGACACACTGGATTTATGGTTTATTACAGGGCTGGCCTTACAGGTGTGTGACATGGGCGACCATCCAGGGCTCCGCAGTCGGAGGGCGGTGGGCGCCATCTGAGTGCCAGAAGCTGCGTGCCTGGGCTGCTGGAGTGGGGTGAGTGCAGGCAAGCCCGGGGCTGGAGCCCCTGACCAATCAGGCGGGAGGCGGGTGATGCCTTCCAGAGCTGCAAGCCTGGTGGTGAGCCACAGGCAGCAGGGCTCATCCCTGTGGAACCAGCGGGGCCAGCCCTTGGATCCCCTCTCCCTGCAGGCATGGGCAGTGGCCACGCACCCACTCTCCTCCTGCTAGGTGGGCTCAGAAACTCCTCCCCGTGCAGTCCAGCTGGGCTCTGGGACCAGAAGCTGGTCCTCGCTCCCTGCACCCCACCCTGCTGTTTTCAAATTCAAAGAAAGGACACCAAAATACAAGTTCATCCAGGGCACCATTTTCCCTAAGTCTGGCCCTGGCTTATTATAAGGATCTATAACCCTCTAGCAAACCCCCTCCTCCTCAGCTACTTCGCCCCTCCTTTCCTCCCTATGATAGGAAGGATGTTAATGGGCCAGTTCTCCTTGAACAATCTGTTGAAATATGAATTAACTACTTATGCTAAACAATTTGTTCCACCTTGTATTATATGGGGTCAAGCTAAAGGTACCCAGGAGGCAGGACAGAGAAAGACCAATTGAGAATACAATCATCATTGTCCAGCAGCATGGAAGGCCAAAAAAAAATGCCCAGCCTGTGGGCAACAGTGCAAGATGTGTGAGAAACAGAACCATTTCATGTCCTAATGCCATAGCTACCCGAAGAAAAATAAAACAGCAGTACATGCAGTGATTGAGGACATAGAGATTACCAATGAAGAGGAGGATGTCTGCAGGGTGACTTCAGCAGATCCAAAGATTCTCAATGTACACTCACTACAGAAGAAGTGAGTGTACATTCAATTCAACCATTCAGTTGCCATATTTGCAACTATACATAGGCGCCGATTCCAGGGGTGCTTCAGGGCTGGAACACCCATGGGAAAAAAAAGAGTGGCTGCTCAGCACTCACCAGCCACAGCTGTTTGGCAGCATTGCCAAGTGCTATCCCTGCTGCTCCCAATGGCTGGTTCCTGGCCAATGGGAGATGTGGGGATGGTGCTGGGGGCGGAGGCAGCGTGCAAAGCCGCCTCTCCCCCCGCTAGGGGCCGCAGAGACTTGCCAGCAACTGGCTGCTTCCGGGAGCGGTGTGGGGTTATGGCAGGCAGGCCCTGCTGCATCGCTAGACTTTTAGCAGCCTGGAGATCACAATCAACTGGCAGAGGCTTCAGGATCAACCAGTTGATCACGATCAATGGGTTGGTGACCACTAAATTGTATATAATTATGGATTTATTTTTGTGGGGGCCCTCTTAGCCTGAGGCCTTGGCCCCTAAAGTCTTGTGTTAATCCAGCTCTGAGCATGCATCATACCATCCATAAACAAGCACTGGAATGTATAGTTTCTTCAGATCGGAGTATGGCAACTCAAAAATAAAAGTACAGAGAACTTTAGGAAGCTCAGGCAATTTGCCTCTTACCCACATCAGCAGATTCTATATGCCAGGAAACACTTTAGATCATGGCCAGCATAGGCACTGACTTCCACAGTTCCTAGGGGGTGCTCGACCCCTGATCTGCCCCAGGCCCTGCCCCCACTCCACCCCTTCCCCCAAGACTCCACCCCTGCCCTGCCTCTTCCCACCCCTGTTCTGCCTCCATCCTGCCTCTCCCTGTCCCTTCCCCTGCCTCTTCCTGCCTCTACTCCTCCCACTACCACCAGCACCTCCTGCATGCCACTGAACAGGTGATCACCGGCAGGTGGGAGGTGCTGCGGGAGGAGAGGAGGATGGTAGGGGGAGGTGCTGATCTGTGGGGCTACTGGTGGGTGCTTACAGGAAGGTGTGGAGAGTTTAAATTAAATGCTGCAGATAATCTTTAAAATTAATAATTTAGTCTCTGGTGAGGTGCTGTGTATTCCAGCATAACTTTCTGCAAAAATTGAACACTCAACTTAAGTATTTCGGAAAGCAAGATACTGGATTCAGCCAGAAATATTGTGTGAAATCCTGACTCCATTGAAGTCTTGAGACTGTTATCAAGATGTGGATGTTTCACATACTTTATTACTAGTTAAAAAGCCAAGGAATGTCAATCATTTAACTGATTTAAGACTGTTATTAACTTGTCTTTAGGCCAGTACAAACATTAAAAGACTGTTAATTAAGTTGCAGTGCAAGACTTGTTTCCACACAACAAGCCTCATAGGATAGTTTTCACTTTAAATTCTACATTAAGTGTGTTACATTACCTATAGGAACAGCAGTATTTTTGACCCAAGTCTTCCTATCAAAAGTAATATTCTTTAGTCATTTCCTCCAACCCATATACAGAGCTGTGGATGTTTTCCAGATAAATGCAATAAAATGTAGGCAGTAACAGATATAAAGCACACTTAATTTACTAAATACTTATTATGATTTTGCTCTTTTCATAGTACCTAACTTAATGAGATGTAAACTGAAAAATACCCTGTGATGCTGGTTTTCTAATATCTGAGTTTGGTGTTTTGAAGTCCCACCTTCCAGAAGATTGCAAGGGCAATTGTAATACCGGGAGACTCCTGTCATTGGCAGGTGGGATTGAATTGGAACCAAATGCATGAGCCTCTATCCTATGAGCTAAAAGCCATATAGTTGTTAGCTTAGGCTGTAGAGTAAACTCATTAATCTCTCTCTCTCTAAGTGGTCTCAGTGCCACTAGATGGGACAGAACACCACACCCAGGAGGTGTGTGGGTTACACAATCTTAATTACTGTTTAACAACATTTTTGTAAGTAAATACTTATATTATATATAAAATATAAATATACTTTATTTCACTGGGAATAGTTTGTTTGTTGCTGACAAGGTTCACAGCGTTGTTGAGGGGCAAATCTGCTGGACCCTACATCTTTTAGTAGAGTGTAGAGTGGTTGGTCGTTTCAGAGGCAGAGTAAAACCACTCCCTGCCAGAATCCATGTGAGTCACCCTCTCATGGAAAACTATGAAGACAAATTCAAGTCCAGAACATGCGCAAAATCTCAGTCTAGTGAAGCAATTAAATAAATCCTATCTCCTAGAACTGGAAGGGACCTTGAAAGGTCATCAAGTCCAGCCCCCTGCCTTCACTAGGAGGACCAATACTGTTTTTGCCCTAGATCCCTAAGTGGCCCCCTCAAGGATTGAACTTACAACCCTGGCTTTACTAGGTCAATGCTCAAACCACTGAGCTATCCCTCCTCCCCAATTTTGCTAAAATTATCTTTATGATTCCTGCCATGTTACCTGCAGCGTGGCTAACTCTGTAACACAAATGTTATCACTCTGACACAGTAGCAAGACAAACGTTTCCACAAGAAATTTCTCCAAACATTTTTTTGGGAGGGGGGTGCATTTGGCAGAACAATAATATAAAAAGAGAACAAAATATTATTGCTAAAATGTTACCACTCAAAACATCATTATGGGTATGCCTACATGTCGTGATTCATGATGGTCAGTTCTGCCTCTGCCTGTCAACCTGCAGAACTGTCAGGTCAGAAATCTTCTTCCAACCAGTTCTTTCTCTGGTATTAAAATACACCTTTCTTTCAAGGCAGAAAGAGTTTTATTTGGACAGGTAAAAGTCCCCTATAGGCTAAAATTTTCAAAAGATGCTCCTGAAATAGTTGCACAAAACATGCAGCTAAACCTTCAAAATACTCCGTCACGATTTCAGTTGGTTGCACATTACCATATAATGTCCAAACAAGAGAACAATTTTAAGTGAGCAAATCTAGAGCATGACTATCTGTGAAAGAATGCAAATGATTTTCAGCACAGGACACAAATTTTATTCTTAAATGTAATGAGCATGTGTTTATTTTAAGGAATTGGAGACCCAATGCATGTGAAAATGTAGTTATCTCTAGTTGCACAAGGTTCTCCCATTGCACTTTTTAAAACAGTTTCCCCCATCCCCCGTAAACCTTTGCATATCTGAGTCCCTAATTGCATGCTTACTCTGAGGTCTTTGAAAACTAGCCTTTGAAAATCTCAATATGTCTTCTAGCTTTATCCGCAGACACTACATAGGGTTGTTGTCTGATAGGCTCATTAGGAATGTAATGAGCTAGGATCTACTGTGGAGAGGACTCCAATAAGAATCATATAAGGTCAGTGTCACTTTGTAAATGAATTCAGCAATTCTTCTAGCTTCTTGTTCATAAAAATCTCATTCTAAAAAATCAGTTCAGTTACCAGGATCTTGGCTAGCATGGCTGCCAGAAGAAGGTTATTACCCCTACTTCCCTTCTCTAGCCCTAGAGACCTCTACTCCACTGTCTGTCCTATTGCCTGGCTCCCTCCCATTCTTGGCTTCTTTCCTCTACATCTACTGGTATCTAGTATTCACTACTTTATCCATTACTCAAATAATTGTCTTTTAAATGGATTTTTCAGGTGCCTAGTTCCAAGTAATCCATTCCCTTCCCAAGATTCTTCTGCAATTGCAAAAAACAATATACTGTACCTTCAGCAATGATTGCCAATCAGACAGTTTGCATGTTGCTAAATCATCAGTTTGATTTTTTTAATGCTTTAGTATCCTCAGTTAATATGGTGTCATCTCGATTAATTGTTATCTCTTTGTCATCAATTTTTCTCATTTCATTCTAGAAAACTAAAGCAAATTGGAATATATCTAGACGCATAGGAGCTAAATAGTAAAAAGCTAACAGTTTGTAATTTTATTAGAATCATTTTGGTAACAACTCCTCTGATACCTATTATATGTGCTCATGAATAGCCACTATACCAACACAAAACATCTGCTAGTCTGGATGAATTTGAACTCCCTCTGATCTGGTAAGAATTGAAGAATAATTTACCCAGCCATAATCGAAATCCATATTTAGTCCTGATCCAACAAAGATGATGAGATTTCATGTGGGCCCAGAAGTCCATACTAGAGGATCCAGTGCAGGATCAGGGTTTTATGTATTCAAGTACTTCATAGGACTATTGTCTTAAACATTAAGTGGACACTGTCAACTAGTTTATTTTAT